AATTCAAAGCAAGCTGCAAGTGATGCCAGACAGCTATCACTGGGAGTGAGGGGGAAAAGAAACTCAATTCATTGCCTTCTTGGGCACAATAAAATGAAAAAAAAAGGAAAAAAAAAGAAAAAAAAACAAACAAAAAACTGGAGATGGACTTGCAGTACTAATGGCTGTAAAAATATCTCTGCGGTCTGGCTCTTTGTCTCATTCTCCTGGCGAGGCTTAAACTAAACAGCAAAAGTTTGTGGGTTTAGGTGCCCAAGTCCAGATCTCAGGCCTTGCAGTTGCTTCTCCCCTGAGCTGTGCCCTGTAGGCTGTGGCTCTGAACTTCCTTGGCATGGTCAGGGTGCCCACATCTCCAACAGGTCTGCCAGAATAGACCCTGGCAGGGGGAAAAAAAAAAAGGGGAGGGGGGGGGGAAAGAAAGGAAAAAAAGGCTGGGTGGTTGTCCCTCCAACAGCTGAATACTCCTTTCGACGGCTGAAATTGCTTCTCTTGTGCTCTGTGGTCTCCTGCCCAAACCCCACAGCGCCTGCTGGATTCCTTTTCAAACCGGTTTCCTCTCCATTCAGCCAGAGCTCCCTTTGGCAGCAGCCAGCAGGAACTGCCTCCCTCCCAGTCAAACTTAGGAGGGAATTTGCAGGAGGAAACAATCCAAGCGGTCGGGTAAAGCGGAGAAAGCTCTTTAAAAAAAAAAAAAAGTCCCCGAAATGTCATCCCCCTCCCCAACTCTGCAAGGTCACGTGCCAGTCCTCTGTTCTCTGCAAAGTTAAACATGTTCTGACATTGTTTGCCAAGCTGGGGCCACTGCTGTGAAATTGTTCCTCTGGTTGTTACTGCGGGCATTGTGTGACGGGAATGTTGTTCGGGGCCTCTTGACTCGGGCTCCTCAAACGGGTCCTTGAGAAAACCTGTTTTTTGGCAAACACTGGAAGGCAGATGCTGAGGGGCATCCTCGTGCCAAGAGACAGCCTGTGCAAACCAGGAACCCGAGGCTGAGCTCACACCTGGGCTCTGCGAGTGCTGAAGTCGCTGCTGGTCCTGTGGCTGTCGCCTGGTTTTGGTTCAGGTGGAGTCGTGATGTGTCAACAAGTCAAAGATTGAGATTCACCAGGGAAAGTCAGGTAGAGGGAGCGATGTTTTTACAGCAGTGGCTTGAATAAAGCTCTTTGCATCTTGGGGAGTGCACAACCAACCAAAAAACCAGGAATCCAGTTGCCTTCCCCCAGTTTTATGTGCTGTTAAAAACTGGTTCTGCAGTGAGCTTGGATCTCCCCTCCTGCCCCAGCGTTATCCTGGTTGTGTGCTCAGCTTCATCCTGGCACCCAGCACGTGGTTTCCCAGCAGCAGGCACGCCATGCCTCGAACCTCTTAACTGAAGCACAGCAGAGGCTGAAAAATGGGAGCTTTCAAAGCAGAATTCCAGCACTGAGGAGCATTTACGGGGGGTCAGCTCATAGGAAAAAAGCTGTCTTGCTAGGACTGAGCAGCAGCCTGAGGAGGCAGCACTGGGGGGGTGTGTGAGCCACCTTCCCTGCTTTGTGGCAGTTCCATATGTCAGGATGCAAAATGAGTGTTCTCTGGGTGCAGCAGTGATCCAGCAACCCAGAGGCTCCCAGGGTTTCTCCAGGCCGTGTTTGCTCCTTGTTCCTCCTCGCTCTCCCTCGGGGCCGTGCTGGGAGTGTTTTCGTGCGGTTTGGTGCCAGTCAGCTTCACCCTCCTCCTCCTCCGCCTCTCTCCTGCGGATTCACAAGCCCTCCTGAAGCAGAGCTGGCAGAACTCCCTCCCCTCCCCTCCGCCCACCCCTGCGTGCCCAACACGTGCCTCTGTTTGGGTGATGGCACGTGCCCGTGTTTGCTGGTGGGCTCTGCAGGAGGATCTGTGCAGAAGGAGAGGTGCTTTTGCACTTGCCTCACCTCCACTTCTGGGTGCTTTAGCCCAGCCCGAACTATTTTAGCTGCGACAATCAGGGGAGGGGGGAAAGAAGCAGCAATTGCTCATATGATGTGTCACACCATAAACTTCAGGAAAGTAATTCATTCCAACAGTGTAATTCTAGGACTCGGGAACCAAAAATATGGGCTATTACTCATCTTCGTATCTCATAAAACAGAATAACCTAAGCCATTTATCTATTTACACAGCAGAGGTTTAGCAAAAAGCAAAGTGTTCGATGTCAAGAGCCACTGTTGCTACATACTCAGAGTGATTACTTGCTTTATCGTTAATTTTTTTTGTCTCTGTGCCAACACTGGCCGAGAATTGAAGTCAGGAGATAGGCACGATGCAGAAACAAGGAGCCCCTGCTCGAAACTTGGGAGAGCAGAGCTGAATCATTGGCATGTCTTGAGTAGGCTGTGAGAGCTCGAGTGTGTTTGTTTTATGATTACCCAACATCTACAGTATTTTCTCTGCTGAATGCTTCTCCCTTCTGCATGAATGAAATTTCCAGGTGCGTGCACACGCATCCACCCTGCACAGGAGGCCGCGTGTGTTAAATGTGTCGGGGCACATTTGGTCTTCACTTGCCTTGGTCTAACTCTGGATGAACTCGAAATTTAGCTAAGTCAGCCCTGGAGTAACTGCCTGCAGAGTTTGATCCCTGGTTCAAGCTGTTGCTGGAACAAATCTGTGGTATCCACCTTTGTCAGCTGTGCTGGGGGGGTCTCTTGGACCTGATGCAGAGAGTCTCGAAGGGGGAAAGGGGTGAGTCTGAAAGCAGCTTTGCTTGTCTGCTGTGGTGGGTGGGGTGCCTGACCAAGTGCCTGTCAAAATCAAGGAGCAAATTTGTCCTTAAGGCATAGAAAGCTAATTCTTTGTGATGGTGAAAAAGTCCTCAAGTAGTCACATAGTTGGCTCTGTCTTCTGGGTTCAGGTGGTTGCCCTGAGCCAGCTGAGCTCAGCCTGGGCAGCAGATGTTTCATAATGTGCCTTTTTTTTTTTTTTAATCAATGGATTAGGGATGTCTTACCAATATGAATAACAGGTTGTTGCTCCATGTTGTTAACACTCCATGTTTTGTACCCCGTGGAAAATATTTTTTTTAATATTATTTATTATTTATTTTTGCAGAGATGGTGTTGTGTACCATGTGGTATTTCATGTTTCTGTAACCCATGAATTCGTTTGTCCTCCCCAGAGTAACTTGTGTGGTTTGCTGTCTAAATAATCCACGCCAGCCTCTATGCTCAGTTCTATCTCATTAGATCAAAGAATGCACTAATTTAAGTCTGTTTCCTTGGTGAATCCACCTGAGGGCTTCAAAAATGAGATGGTGAAGTTAAGCTCTGATTTACCTGTTGTTTTATCTGATGACTAAATGATCTTCCTTTAATATGGCTAGTCAGGAACGTGGCCTCCAGGTGTTCATGGTCCTGATGCTGCTCCGAGCTTCACCCAAGCAGCTGTGTGTGTGTGTGTGGTGTTCAGCCTTATCTCTTCATCAGGGGTTTGTCCTTGGAGTGATCTTTTCATACTAGAAATGTATCCAGCTCATGACACGCTCAGCAATGTTGGCTTCTGGCTCTGAGGGCAGACTATGAAGCCCCAGTTCCTGTAGTTTTACTCTTCAGTTCCTCTGCTGATAAAAGTTGACTTTGATTCAAGGCGTTCAAGGGTGTCAAAGGGTTGGGGGTCTGTTTTTGTTGTCACGTTTCCAGACTGCATTTTTTCTGTGGCTTTTGTTCTCGACAGGAAAACCAAAATGTTCACTAATTTATCCTTTGCTTTGCTTGCAGAAAAAAATAAAGGTGAGGCTGGTCAAAGAGGGAGCTGTTGCGTCCTTGATGTGTGCTTGGCACTTTCTCAGGCTGGGAAGGAGGCCAGATAAAGTTATTCCAGACCTATCTCCCTGTGGTAAAACCCACCAGGCTGCAGGGCTGTGGGTTGTCAGGATGTAGCTGGCCAGGGTGGAAGGAGAGTTTGCTGGGAGTAGTTGGCCTGTTGGCTGTGAGGAGGGATGTTGTGCAAGCTGGAGATGGTAAAACCCAAGCCCCAAAGGCTTCTGTCTTAAGTTGGGGGTAAATAAAACTGAAGTTTTTCCCTATATTTGTTATTCCTGCTCACTGTAGGACTACTGAGGTAATACAGGAACTTCTCCAAGGCCAGGAAGTGGATTTTGTGGTGCCTTTTGTTGCTGAGCCTGGCACAAGCTGTTCAGGCTGTTTTTTTCTGGTGCAAATGACCTGGAAGATGATCTGCAGCACCCAATTGAAATAAGAAATCTCAGTGAATAAATATCTGTAAACACCTTCCGCTGTCCCAGGTTGCTCCAACCTGCCCTTGGACACTTCCAGGGATGGGGCAGCCACAGCTTCTCTGGGCAACCTGTGCCAGGGTCTCATCACCCTCACAGGGAAGAGACTCTTCCTAATCTCTAATTTAAACTTAACACTCTCAGTCTGAAGCCATTCCCCCTTGTCCTGTCACTCCATGCACTTGTCCAAAGTTTCTTCTCCAGCTCTCTTGAGAGAGAGAAAGGGAAAAAGAAATGTGCCACGAGAGTGGTTACCAAAATTGTTTTGTTTTTTCATAGTATGTTTTTCTCCTGCTCAGTCATGCAAAGCTAATGCTTGACTGTAGTCTGAGAAAATTGTCATGGAAGCACATCATCTCAAGTTGCATATTCAAAGCCAGGGAAAGCTAAAAGTGGCACTTAAAACCTGTAAACACCAGCCTTCTGGAGGCCTTCTGGAGTAAACAGCTAAAAGAAATGCCCAGCTTGTGTGTGGATAGTGGGATTGTCTCCTCTGCTTTGTTCCTGATTTCCTGGCTGTAATTTTTGACTGTCATTGCAATAGAGAAAGGCCTGGTCAGTGGGGTTGGAAGAACAGCTCTTTCTCTGACTTGTGCAGCTGTGCTTGAAACCACGGCGCATCAGCTGAGGTGGACACCCTTTAAATTTCGTTATTTTGAGGTTGTTTACACAAGGTTAAAGCAATAAATCACCCATGTGACTGCTAACAGCACACACAACCCCCCCCCACCTCCTTGTTTTTCCCCCTTAGGTGGCGGTGAAAGTCATCGACAAGAAGAGAGCCAAGAAGGACACCTATGTCACCAAGAACCTGCGGCGGGAAGGGCAGATCCAGCAGATGATCCGCCACCCCAACATTGCTCAGCTCCTGGACATCCTGGAGACCGAGAACAGCTACTACCTGGTCATGGAGCTGTGCCCTGGGGGCAACTTGATGCACAAGATCTACGAGAAGAAGAGGCTCGAGGAGCACGAGGCGCGCAAATACATCCGGCAGCTCATCCTGGCGGTGGAGCATCTCCACAGGGCGGGGGTGGTCCACAGGTAACCCCAAAACCCCCCTCCCTGGGGGGAGTTTGTATCAGGGGAGTGGTGTTTTGGCGTTTTGTTTGTGTTGCAGGGAGACTTCCTTGTGAAAACATATTCCTGGGAGCATTTTGGCCGCTCTTGGCGGGGCTGTTTAGGTGGGTTTGTGTTTTAGATGCGAGAAGGCATCTGCACAAAGCACTTTGGCAGGTTTGTGGCTTCAGGTGGGCACACTGGAGACCTGCTGACTCCCACGTCCAGGAGATAAGTCCTTGTGGGTCCCTTCCAGCTCAGGGTGTTCTGTGGTTCTGTGTCCACAGAGATAACCTGTGCATCCCCTTCCCCTACACAAAGCGCTTGTTTTGGCTCTTCAGAGCTCTGTACCAGCGTGAGCTGGTGAATCACTTTTGCTGTTCCTTTGAGAGGATGGTTGTGTCTGCTGTTTTCCTGGTGGAAATACAGCGGTGTGGGGAGTCAGAAGATCGCCTGGGCTCCAGGGGGAACAGGGCTCACCAGAGAGGAGCCTGGGGAGGGCTGATGAGTCAGGAGTAGCTGCCTCTGAAGTTCCTGAGCAAGCAGCAAGTGGAAGAGGCTGGGAGAGTGCAGGTGCAGGTGTCACACGTGGTGCCTTTCTCCACTCAGTGCTCTTGGCTGCTATGGAGACAGGAGGATGGTGGGCTGCATGGACCTTTGGTCCGAGCCAGAATGTCTCCTCTCCTGTTCTCAGGTGTATTTATAGGGCACTGTGCTAAGAAGGAGGCTCTGCTTTCTAAATTTGGGCCAGCTGGTGTTAAGTCTGGGCTCCCACACAGTTCCCATCTGATGCTGAGCAAGTTGTGTAGGCCCCATCCTCTTGGGTTATGTAGGCAGGTTGTAGGAGCCAGACATCTGAATGCTTTTGAGGATCTGGGCCTTCCTTTCCTTTGGCTTCACTGACTTGTGGGGAGGATGGAGGGCTGTGCCCAGGGGCCACTGTGCAGGCAGCTCCTCCAGCTGTGCCCAGCTGTGTGCTGAGCTGTGCACCTGGCTTGGTGGAACTCCACGTGCTCTGAAACCTGCTTTTTGTGTCTCGAGTCCCTGTGTATATTCCCTGTGATCCTGCAGGGATAAGGTGCTGTGTGCACATGTGAGCCCAGGAGAGCTGAGGTATTTTCTCAAACTAAATTTCAGGTACCACTGTAATATAAATATTTGAGCAGCCTCCAGGTCTATTCTGCAGGTTCTCTATCAGCCACAAGACTGCTGACCTCTTTAAATTATTAACCCCCACAGTTTGGGGCATGGACAAGGAAGAAGCCTGTTTGTTGCTTTAAGGGATCAATTGCTATCTGGTATTTAGAGAGAGAGATGAAGGAAATGAAGTTTCTGAGATGAGCAGAGGAAAACACGCCAGGAGCAGATGAACATGTTTAGCTTTTAACAGCAGGACCGAGTTCAGCAGCAGCAGTTCCTCTCCCTGAAAAATTTGTAGTGGCCAAGGCACTTACAGGGGGTTGGCAGGCTTGGCTTTGATTCCTTTCCTTTTCAGAGAGGATCCAAACCCACATTTTGTGCAAAAATAGCCTGTTCCATAAGCGCAGGCTGGAATCAACAGGCTGTTGCGGTGGGAAGGACGGCAAGGCTTTGGGGCCCGAGGAGCCCGAGTTCCCGTGGAGATGCTGCAGGTTTGGCCCTCCCCTCTTCCCTCCCTGCTGTCTCTGAACACCAGCACAGCTCCCAGACCCTGGAGGGTCCGGAGTATGAGTGAGCAGGGGGAGGAAGCAGCTCTGAGAGCGCTGCCAGGCTCTGCCGTGGCTCTGCCCGCCCAGCCCTGTGGCTCGAATTAATCCTTGCCCCAGAGGCAGCCGCTCCATCCACGATGGTTCTCAGCTCACAGCACACAGAGCTGCTTCTTGGGAGGCTTCCACACGATGAATGAGCGGGTCTGATTCTGCCTAAAGTGATAAAATTTGACAGAATCACAGGCAGTGTGTCTGCAAGGATTTTCTCTGGCTTAACCCATCCGATGTCTTGACCTGTTCTGCAAACCCAAGCGTGTAGAACCGTGTGGAGAGACAGGAAAAGCTCTGGTGGCGTGATCCAGATTCATCCTCCTGGCTCTGTGCGAGCAAGGGAGGGAGAAAGAATAATAATTACCCCAGGAGTTGTCCTTCAGCGTCTCAGGCTTCCGACTGTGGCCGCTCTAAAAACAGAGCACTCAATCAGCTACTGGAGAGTGGGGGGAAAAATATAGTGATTCATCCTGTCCCTGGTTGAAATGGCAGGGTGGTTGTTGTTGTTGTTATTTTTAAGGCAGGTAAAAATACCAGCACTTTCATGTGCATGGTGATCTGTGGGTGTTTGCATTCGCTGCGTGGGGAGCAAACCTGGGCCAGAACTCGGGGCTGGTGTTTGTCTCTCCAAATGATTTCATCATTCACATTTTCACACTGAAAAGCGTTCCCTGGCTGTTCTATTGCAAAAAGGTCGTTGGGTTTGTCTGCATGATTCAGGGAATAATAGAGATGACTTACCCTGTTCTATAACTTAGGACGGGAAAAAAAAAAAAAACTAACTCAGATGAAATAAGTTGCATATAATTTGCTTACATTATTCCACGAATATTTCTCAGAAATCTTCATGACTTGCAGTCTTGGTGTGGCAGAAAAGCACTCTCATCTCTGGTTTTTGGACAAATCCAGGAATCCAGAATTCAATGGAAACGCTTAGGAGGCACTGATGTGTGAAAAGCCTAAAATTAAAAAACCTTAGGAAACCTCATTTTACTTAGAGATGTAAAAGTACCTCCAAACTCAGGTTTGGCCGTATAGATGTGTTTAAAATTGCAACTATTTCATGCTCTAAGATGGATGAAGAAGTTCCCGAGTGCAGAAGCTGCATCTTTGGAGAGGGCTTGTCCGGGGCTGAGAGCTCCTTGGGCTGCTTTGCTGAAAGCAAAATGCCACAAGTCTATATATAATTTCATGTAATCATTTGTGTTTCGTTCCCTCTATCAGGAGGCTTGGCCGGTTGCTAAAAATATACTTGCAACAAAGCTCAGCTGTGAATCAGGTAGGAATATTTATCTTCGCCTCTTGACAGAGGAAAACAAACCCAAATGGCAGTATCTGGTGGAGCTTTCTCTTGGCAGAGGGTGTTTACACAGCCCTTCACGCTGTCAAAAAGCAGGATGAACAATAAGCCCCTGGGGAGCACAAGGACGGCAGAGAAAACGAAGCGAAAGGCTTTGGTGCTTGCCACTGCATCCCACAGGAAATTCTCAACAACCCCTTTTAAAGTCATTTTAACAAAACTCGATCCCATTCAGTGCAATTACTGTCAGGATGTCGAAGGAAGGAATTTAGTAATGTGTTGGTGGCAAAGATAGCTTTCTGTGTTCCCCCTTTTTTCCGTCCTCCTGGCTGCATATTTGTGCCTTCCACTGCCGTTTGGTGATTAAAAGCAGGTCAGGAGTTTGGAAGACACGAAAAAGGCCCTGAGGTTTTGAGTAAGGTGATGCCATACAATCCAGACGCTCAGGGTGGCACAGGATTCCTGCTCTGGTACCTGCTCCTTTGACATGCTGGCTTTGATAACTTCCATCCTGTTAATTTTGAGTGCCAGATGCTGCTGCAATATTTATGACAGATCCTGCGCCACAGAGCAAACTCCCCTTTTGAAGTGCAGAGCTGGTTTCTCTTTCTATTTTATGTCAGATTTCAAAATTACCTTTGGGCATTCTCTCGGTGTGCTCTGGTGTAAACAAACCACACATCATTTTAGTGAAGACAACAAGACTGAATCCCTCTTTTACAGAGGCAGACACATGGAATTCAGGGATGTAACTGACAGAAGGGTCGGGTTCAGTAAGTGGTATTTTGATAACAAACCCTTTGAAATGTGTATTGACATATAAATGTGATGGTGAACCCAAATCTCACCTCTGGCTCCTCCACAGGGCTACGAAATGGGCTTGTGGGTTGGTAGTTAAGGAGTGATTTTTTTTTTGTAGTGCTGCTGTGATTAAAAATAAGATGCAGGAGACAGCAGCCAACAACTTCTGCTTTGCAGCTGCTTGCTGGTAAAGCCTCCCTGCTCATCCTTCCTCCCCCAGACAAGAAATAAAGTGTGAAATGTAGAACTTCCATTTGCAGCCTGCTGCCTGCCAGGGCATGGAATATAAACTGCTTTTGGGAGTACACTTGTGTCCCTCACTTGGAGGCACTGGCTGGAGTTGAGGTTTCCAAAGTGGTCTGAGAAGCTCTAAGCGAAGCCAGGGGTGAATCAGCCCCATCAGCAAACTCCCAAATGAACTTATCCCATAAAGATGGTGTATTTTCAGAGCCAGGGAATGCTGCCTCTTTGCTGCCAGCTTCACAAAGCTGCAAAGACATAAATATCTGCTGATTCTCCACGCTGTGGGAATGCCTTGAGTGTCTTCATTATTCCTAGATTTCACTAACTTGTGCCACAGTTAGACACTCTCAGCATCATGGAACTAACCCCTCAGGAAAAGGTAGCATTTTTTTGTTCCTTTCCTATTTAATCACTGAGGGTGTTTTTAAGTTTTTCAGCAATGAATGCTGAAAGTTTGATTAAGGGGGAAAACAAATAAATAATCCTTTAGTCCTGTTTTTTGTTGTTTGTTTGTTGTTGTTTGGGGTTTTTTTTTTTTTTGAGAAGCTGTGACAGCAAGGAACAAGATCAGATTTACTTCAAGGAGGGAACTTGAAAGTGTCCAGAGTTGCTGCTTTGTTTGGATGTTGACATGATCTCATTGCAATGGACAAAGTCCCAAAAGTGGAGCCCTGAATTTCAGACCCTTTATTACAAAGGGTTTAAAAAATAAAAGCAAACTAAGGCAGCCAATGAAGGGTGTGGAGCACAAGTCTTATGAGCAACTCAGATAAGGCTCTCTTTGTAAAAGATAATTAAATTTTCTCTTTAGGTTGTATCAAGGAGTAAAAGCCTCTTTGTCCTGGCTCCCGGTGTCACTCCAAAAAACCAGGGATTTTCTATTGGGATTGACAAAAAATGTGGGGCATATGGACTATTAGATCAGTTACCACTCACTGGCAAATCTGGTGAGAATAGACAGATGGGTAAACATCTTTAACCAGAGCTGGCTGCACTCTATACTGGGCTGATATTTACATTGCTGTTTTTCCCCCTGATAGCTTTAAAATAGCCCTGTAATATTTACCTTTTTTTTTTTTAATTTTTTTAACCTCGAATGCCTTTTTTTAAATACCTTGTGTTCCTGTCTAGCCCTTCTGTCTCTCAGCTGTTACTCTGATCGTCTGCGTGTCTTTTCTCCTCACCTTACAGCTTTCCCCTTTCCATTCCCTTGCCTTTAAAGTCTTCTTGGCTAATGTTTAATATACTCAAGAGCTTCCAAATGCTCTCCCTCCTTGCTTTGAGACACTGCAGTTGTGTGACCCAAAGCTCCACGTGCTTCTGCCTCAGTTGTTTTTGAAGCACAGCATGAAATGAAATGGAGAGGAGCGGTTCAGGAAAGGCTTGGAGTAGGTCGTGGCTATTTTTCTTTCCTTCACAGATCCCTCCTTGTGGAAGTACTTAGCTGGGCTTGGTCGGTTTACTCGTCTTATTTTATTAAGTTTTATATCTTCATCTGCAATACAGGGCATCCTTCATCACCCCCTTTGCCTTACAGAGGCAAAACACCACGGATGTCACTGGCTTCCCATCATTACAGCTGATGGCTTTATTATCCAGGGTTTTCTCCAGGAGAAGCATCACTGCTGTGGTTATCCCAGAAATATTTCATGTCTGGAAGGTGGGGGGAAAACTCTTGTGATGGAGATTAGACTCTCTTTTTAGCAGTGCCAGTGCTGACCACCCCTGTGAAGAGTTTGGATGCTTCGCCCTGAGAGCAGATTGATTCTTCTCTCCAGTGCAGGCAACACCAGGGGACAGACATTTGACCCTTCCCACCCCTGCAGAGGGAGGTTTATTCCTCAGCAGTGGCCTTTGGTTGTCAAAGAGCAAGGAGAAAGTGCCCTCCCCTTCCAAAGACATGTATTTGAAATGTGTCCAGTTTGTGAGATTTCTGCAGGCTCCTCGGTGTGTGAAGAGCCTGATTAATTACAGGATGTACTGACAAATGTTTCTAAAGTCGTTTTGTGCCTGAAGAATAGGTGTGAAGCAGTGTGTGAAAAGCTCTGTTAATTCTGGAGAGGGTGCACGGGGCTTTCTGCTTTGAATGTGGAACCGTGTGTGCTGCTTTCATTATGCAAGTTATTATACATGAACCTTGTAAATACACTGATGAGAGCGAGGGGAAGCTGCTTCATTATTTTGGAGACTCACTCAAAATATTTTCTTTCTTTCTTTCTTTCAGAGACTTGAAGATAGAAAATCTGTTGCTGGATGAAGACAACAATATCAAGCTCATTGGTATGAAACCACTTTGGCAATTCCAGTAATTAAAATTGTTAGTTTTATAAAGAGAGGTTTTTTGAGACTTCATAATCTCCCATGTGACAACTGCTAATGTTGCTGCAGAGGAGAGCTGGGAGAGTATAGATAGCAATCAAGCTGTTCCTGACAGCATCTCCTGAAAAAAATGATCCGAATAATTCAGCTCTAACTGGGTATGGGCACAATCTCGCATTCTTTAAACCACAGCTTTCATATTCAGCTTGGGAACTTTGTCGAGAATTCAAGAATTGACACCACAGAAAGTAATTTATTTTATTATCCTGATCATTCCATATTTGCTAAGGGCTGGATTCTGCCCCCGTATGCATATGCTTCCTCTGAAGTCAGTGGGAGTTGAGCACATTTTTAGCAGCTGGCAAAATTCGGTCCTGTATTTATATTTGTTAAATTTGCTTCCAGCACCCGATGCGGAATTGGTTTGGAGGGCTGTTAAAAAATGAAAAAGATCAGCGATCTAAGAGTCTTGATTTGTATTTGGGTATCAGTTGTACGTGGGGCCCGGTTCATTCAAGCTGTGCAGACGTTTTAGATTAATCACTGGTGGGTACAGTCTCTCACTGCCTTGCATAACTCCCATCAACGTTCATGCGGGCATTGAAAAGAAAAATCTTCCCTTCATGAAAATAAGTGCCCAACATCTGTTTATATTTATTTCCCTGCCTACACTTTTTTGCCTGCAGCAGAGTCTGTGGCTGCAGACTTAAAAACTCAACCCGCCTTCCCTCGGAAGGTGTCGTGGACTGAGAAGTGACGAGGAACACTCGGCATTCGGGTCGAGGGGACGCTCACTGGCGTATAAAGCACGTGCATTCCAGACAAACAAAGAGGAGGATGGTTAATGAAATCTGAAACATTCGGATTATACTTGGGGAATTCAGTTTTTTGGAAACGCTGCTCTGACTTTTTTGGTGATTATCCTGTGGCAAATCGGCCGAATCTGGGAAAAATAACAGCAGAGAGAACTCTGCATTACCTCAGCCATGGGTCAGGAGGAGACTGAGATGCTGCCATGAATCATTCACCAGTAATGGTGGATACCACCCATTATCTTGATTTAGCAGATAAGTGAGACCAGATGGTTTGCAACAGTGCTGTGTGAACATCTGATGGATTTAAAGAACTTCTGCAGGCTTCCCTGTTATTTTATGTATTGGGTGTTTGGTTACACAACAGTATGTGAACTTGACATCCAAAGCGAGACCTAATCAGATGATACGTGCACAATTAAAACTCCTGTGCCAAAAAGAATGTGCTCCACAACTGTTCCTGCAGTTTCGTTGGCTTTGGTTGCATGGAAAGGTCTCCCTGCAGTGGGTGGTGTGGGAAGAATAGAGAAAAGAGACAGTTTGATCTTCTGTAGCCTCGCTGGAGTTGAAATAGATTGTCCTCGGGTCTGCAGCCTGATGTTTTTAAGCACAGCAGATTGCACACAGTATGTATTTTAAAACAAAGCAATTAAATCCCACCATCCAACTGGGTATGTTGTAGCAAAACAAAGGTGGTGGTAGTAGTAATTCTGCTGGAAGTGAAACCAGATTTAACATCGCAGCCGGCTCGTGCTGTATCTCACCAGCAGCCCTGGTTCCTGTAATAGCTGTGAAATGAAGAAAAACCCGCCATAAAGAGAGAAGAAAAGGTGGAATGAAGATCTGAAGTTTGCCAGGAGGTGACACTGAAAGTCCCTGCTTTTTCATGCGTCTCAGTGGGAACTGAGTGCCTCGAGTCCCTTTCTTCACCCAGCTGCTCCATGGCACCTGGATTTGGCTCCTCTTTTTTGTGACAAGGTGGTTTACGATCTGCTCTTAGATACTCTCCTTAGAAAAGTTCCCTTTGAGAGGACTTATTCTTAGCACTCTGTTAATCAGACTGAAGAATATCAGGACTGGGAACGTTGGAAATAATTCACTTCTTTTCGTCTCCCACCTCGTGCTGCAAAAAGCCGATCGCAGGCCACACGAAGCCCTTGCTGTCCCACTGGAGCACCTGTGACACTCAGCTCTGCTGGTCCAGCTTGTCCAGGAGCTTCTGTTCAACAGCTCCTTCCCTGCTCTGGCTGTCACAGCTCCAGAGATGGCTGTGCATCCATAGATTGATGCTGATTTCCTGGAGGCGTCGCAGAGGAGTCGTGCGATGCGATACTTCGATAGCACGAACGGCGGGGGCGGTGGAGTTCCCATGTCATAATATTTACTTTGGCAAAACCAAGGGTGGCCTTTGATCTGAATTCTGTAATTAGCTGGGCTTACTGAAAGGGAGCCCAAGGCAGAGGCAGGAATGGCAGTGGAATTCCCAGTGCTGGTGGTCACACCGTCCCTTATCCAGCTCAGCGGTGCATCCTCAATAAAAATCGCCCCGTGATCACGATGTGCTGCCACGGTGTTAATAACAACATTCTCATTTCCAGGGCTACGAAATCCCTGTCCTCGAGATGCATTTGTTTGCACACATTCTGCATTTCAGCAGCCACTAGGGGAAAAAAAGGTATAGCAGCTTTAGATGAATGAGCTGAAGGGAGTGAGTAAGATGTTTATGACTGAATAGAAGGTGTTTATAAAAGAAGAGAATGAAAACCTTCACTGATGCTGATGAAGGGATGCTGATTTTTACCATTTCAGAACGCAACTCTTATGTACTTTGATTGCAAGGCATTATAGTACAGAGAAGTAATTTGGAGGGGGTATGACACTCCAGGGTAAAGACCAGCAATGATACTGTGTGGAGGTGTCATTTCTAGGAGTCTTAAATGTGTTTTACAGTTGACATAACTCCTCTCGGGCCGCAGCTAATGAATATGTTAATTAAGTTAATGGTGCCTCGGTAGTATTTGTAAAAGCCCCAGGGAAAATACGTATCTAACAGGGATGATTAAGCAGTGTCCAGGGACAATTGTTTTCCATCAGAGGCAAGGAAATTGTCCTGATTCCCCCTTCAGTGTTGACAATGTTCTCCAGGAAAGCCCCCTTGAGCCTCTTTACATGTGAAATATGGTGATTCCTGTGTTCCCCGGGCTTGTGTGGCTCTCAGAGATGCAGCCAGTGGAGGGGAAAGCACTGTGCCATCATTTGGGCACTTCAGCTTGCACAGTCAGCTTGATAATTGCCTTTTTTTCTTTTTTTTGGTAAGCATTTTTATATTTTTGCCTGGTTTTGTAAGGGAATAAGGCTTATGTGTCTGCCCTTTAATACCTTGAGGGACTCCTGGCTGATTTCCCCTTCTCTGTCAGCATCTCCTAATTGCTTTCTCCCAAGCCAAGCGTGGCCACCCCTGGACAGGGTGGGTTTGCCCTCCCCTGGCACCATCCACGTCTGCCACCAGTGTGACCCTGCCTTCCTTTCCTTGCTGAGTGGTTTAATTTTTTTAAGATCCTTCCCCAAGCCCAGCTCAGCCTGCAGAGCAGACAGGGGAGATTTTGGGAACACCCTTCCCGGCGCCAGCCTGGTCTCGGGCTGCCTGAGAGCACTTGGGAAGCCTCAGCCTCCTCCTGCTGAGAGGCTCCCTCTGGTCTCCAGTGCCAGCCTGTGCCAGTCCCTTGTTGTTTCTGCCAGCAATGGAGTGGCAGATACACCCAGAAATGCAATAATTCGAGGCAGAAGTCAGGGAGGGGCAGCCAAGTCAAGACATTCTTTCCCTCCCCTTCTTGCTCCCCGACCTCCCCGTGTCATCTCCACCCCTCTGTGCTTGTGCATAGCCCAGAAAGTGACCCCCCCCTTTACATCTGATGGTTCATTGACAGGTTTTAGAGGGAATGCTGAGGGAGTCCCACCTAAACCTGGGCTCTCCATAACACCCTGCAGCAGTGGGGAAGCCACAGCAGCCCTTGGTGGCCCTCTGCCCCGTGCACATCAGTGCCTGGGCCAAGCTCAGCTCTGCCTGTTGCCATCCAGTTCACAGCAAAATGTAACTGCTTTGTGTCTGAAATCGATGATTGTGCATATCCTGAGACTTTTTGTTGTTGTTGTTGTTGTTGTTTGGAAATCTCTGGTTATTTAGCACCTCGTACAACCCAATTACATGAAATTTTTGCATGTGGGTGAATTTTTATTTTTTTTCCCCTCAGGCTCGTGGAAGAAAAATGTTCTTTTCTTTCTCACTTGTGTTCTAGGGCGGTCTGACTGTGACTGTCTTTCCTAACTCTGCCTCTGTGCCTTTCACAGACTTTGGATTGAGCAACTGTGCAGGCATCCTGGGTTATTCTGATCCCTTCAGCACCCAGTGTGGGAGCCCAGCATATGCAGCCCCTGAACTTCTGGCAAGGAAGAAATACGGGCCCAAAATAGACGTTTGGTCCATGTGAGTTGCTTCTCTACTTTATAATTGTCATTGCAACGAGCAAGGGACACGTTCAGCTCCATCAGGGTGCTCAGAGCCCCATCCAACCTCACCTTGAGCCTTTCCAGAGATGGGGCGTCCATAATGTGATAGTGTCAGGCCTTAAAGATGAAATGCAGTCTCTGAACACTAAAATTAAAGTTTTTTCCTTGTTCCTGATCATTTTGGTTTCCCTTTCTCCCTGTTTTCTCCTAGTGGGGTGAACATGTATGCCATGTTGACTGGAACCTTGCCTTTTACCGTGGAGCCCTTCAGCTTGAGAGCCTTATACCAGAAAATGGTGGACAAAGAGATGAACCCTTTCCCCACCCAGCTCTCTTCAGGTAATCACAGGGAGCGTGCTGGGACCTGGTCAGAGCCACTGCAAGGAATGATTGTGGCTCCTGCTGCCAGTGTGTTGTGCTAGTTGGGAAAAGCAGTTCCTTTCATTTCAGCCTCCGAAAGAAGTGCAGGAGTTGCTGTAGTGGAACTCCTTTTGGTCTGATTTCCGTGTGCCAGCTGCAGAAGCACCGAGTTGTGCTGGATGTGAGAGAAGGGGCCAACCTGTGAAGTTCTGTGAAACTGCCTTTGTGGAGCAGTCGGTCAGTTTTGCACACTCAGATTTTAGTGTATGGATGGACAGCCAGATCATTTTGGAGTAAGGGATTCCTGGGCATTATCATGACCAGGTTTGAGTGATAAACCGCCTCAAATGACCTCACATTTACCATGGAGTAGTAATGACATGCGCTCAGAAAGCTATTTTGGGCCGGTGACCTAGGACAACCTTTGTGTGTTCACAAAATGCGGAATTGTTGATGTATTAGCATCAGAAATATTAATTCCTGCTTCAGAGCCGTGTCACTAGGCAACAGAATCGTTTTCCAGCTTGCAGCAAGACCACTGTCAGCATTTGGAACAAGCTCCGTTCGCCAGTTGGGTTTTATTTTCGTGTGCCAGATTGGTGGAGAGCTTCTGTCTCCTTCCCTGGCAGCCTCTTTGCAAAGGGCCACTCAGTAAAATGAAAAGATTGCAAGTGCAAAAAGGGCAGCCAAGGTAGGAAACCATTGTTACAGGGTGTGAGACAAAGCCCTTGGGAGCTGTGTCACGAGATGAATTCTCCAAGCACAGATTTGCCTGTGGAAGAGGTGGATGGGGAAGGGTTTTATCACCTGGGTTGTCCCTGCCTAACCTGTTGCTCCTTGTTCACTCAGCTCCTGCATGAAGGACCCTTTCCTGCCAGCAGTTCACAATCTGGCATGTTGTAAAGTGGAGGGTTTACAAGAGAGCTGGGATGCTGCAAGTTTCTATTTGTGTTTTTTTTTTGTTTGTTTGGTTTGGTTTGGTTTTGGGCTTTGGTTTGGTTGGGGTTTGTTGGGGTTGGGTTTGTTTGGTTGTGGTTTTTTTTTTTGCTGTGTGTTTGACTCAATTAGGGTGTTCGGAATTTCCACTCCGGGCTCTTCCCGTTAGGATTCAGTTGCACAAAATGGCTGTTTTAATGTTCTAGCACACGCTTTAAAGCCTCACTGTGTAAATTAAAAGAAAGATTGCACTGACTGCTTCCTGCTGCCCTTGTCTGGGTGCCAAGTCCTGCATCAGTTGCAAAGTTACCTCTGAATTCAGGGACTTGCATGGCACAGTCAACATTTTCCAAGTTTGGCAAGAAATGTACCTCCTAGACTGAGGTAAATCATTTTACCAGTGAAGAGCAGTTACATGATGGCTTGTGTAGTGTCTTTGAACCAATGGACTGTTTCCCCAGTCATTGTTTTCTTCCCATTCTCTTTAAGTGGGAGGTTGCACTGACTTCACTGGGACAGCTCAAGGCTGAACCACCCAGGAAAGGCCTGTAGGAGGCAAACACTGGGTAGCAAAAAAGATAACGTTACTTTTGACAGGCTTCATTTTACTGTTTCATTCAGCCTCCCATTTTTAACGGAGATGAGATTTTCTCACCTCTCTGTGGCATTTGTGGAGCTCACTGGACACTGGTCTCCAGGGAAGGCAGTATTTTGTTTATCCTGTGAGAACTTGGAGAGATGATGGCAAATTAATGGACTAGATTTAAGCACGTTAACCTTTCCTCACGGGGAACAAAGGTACACATCAGTTCCTGATCTGAGCCAGCGGCCTCTCACGTTCACTGACACGGCACACTCTGATTTAAGATGACATTTGTTCCTGCCACCATTAAGCTTTGGGTCAGTGGGTGGAAACTCTTCTCCTCTGCTCTCTGAATTGTAGTGCTCGTTAACTTCTTAGGTTTTTGCTTTAATCAGGTTTTATTATATATATATTTAATATACATATTTACTATATAGAGAAAGTTTTTGCAGGAGTCTGTTTTGCTTGTTCAGTACATTGTCTTTCAATATTTCTTTTCACAGTTACTGAACATGCAGCCCCATCATGTCTTATCACTAAGCAATAAAACACTTTTTTGTGTTAGTTAGGATATTGGGTGACCATGAGCAACCTGTGTAGCAACGGGGGAAGTTTGGAGTCACTGTTTGATTTTTTTCCCCACTTAGGAAACCATTTTTCACTTAAGCTTCCTAAACAACACAGCCAGCTGGTTATTGATTTTGGGTGGGCAGAGGTCAGTTGCTCGGGAGGTTGGTATTCACCCTGCACACATTCCTTCTCTTGCCTCTTCCTTACGCTCCTGTTCTTCCCTCTGGAATGAAGTGGAGATGAGAAAAGCCACTGTTTGTTCGTGCCTGTGGTTTGGAGGAAGGATTTTATTAGGTGGGGCTTGTGGAGTGACCTTGCTGCTTTTTCTCCAGAGGTGTTTTTAAGCCGTACCTGTATCCCCAGTTGCAACCAGGCACAGCCTCCCAGAGGGAACGACACACTGAGCTGGTCTCAGTCATGACAGGGAACATGTTTGCTCATGTTTGCTCCCTGGGGCACTAATTTTGTCATCCCACAGCCGTGTGGCTGGATCTGGGAAAGGCTTCTCTCCTCCTTGTACCATCTGACGGCTCAAATCAGCCCAAGCCAGCACAGTTACTCATCCTCCACCCTGTTTCCCGGATCCAGGGAGCTTCCAGGGGGGAACTTCCCTCCAGGATTAGTTTCTCCCAGTCTGAATCTGTTATCTGTGGTGCTTCACAAACTTCATTTAATTAGTCTGCCTTTTGGGCAAGGGTGGGGGTGGTGGAGAAGTAAGACTTTTAAGGAGACATCAGGTGATTTGGGGGCTGAGCGTGGAGGTGGTGATGATGATGATGGAGGAGGAGGGTGTTGGCTTGGGAAGGGGTGATTTGTTTTGCTCTGAGCCCATGGGATGTGTGTGGTTTCCAGCACAGAGATAAGGGAGCTACTGGAGCGAGAGGAGATGAAGTGGAAGAACAAGGGGTTTGTTGTTTGCTGTAATGGGGATTTCTGTGCCCAGGAGGATGAGGAGGGGGCACTCTGGGCACGAAGGGAACAGCTTCCAGCAAGTTTATGAACTTGGATGTAGACTTTTCCTGCTGCTTTTCTGCAATACTGTTGCTGTAGGAAAAGAGCAAAAATGTTGGATAGTATTCGAAGGAAGCTCTTGAAGCTGAAGGTTCAGCACCTGAGACCAAAATGAAAATGAATTTTGCTGTACTCTTTTAATTGGGCTAAAGCCTTCTGCAGCTGATTGTAGGCTGGATGGAAGCCAGGAGAGAATTTGTCCTCGTAATGTCAAAGGGAGCCAAATTTGCCATGTCTTCCTTCCTGGCTCTGCATCCCTTCCCTCCCCTCCCCTCTGGTCCATCTCCTCCTACCTTAAACACAGTGATTTCTGTCTGACCTTGCTCCAGTTCTTGCCCCCATGAGGAAATCGAGTGTTGTCTCACCTGCTCCGAAACTTCAAACAAGCTCTGAGACAAAAAACCTCTTTTTCTCCTCTCCTTTATGACTCCATAAATCATTGTGACTATAAATCACTGTTTATTTTACTTGCTAGTCCCTTATCAGTACTTCCATTTTCCCAAGGACATCAGAGCATACCGTAAGGAAAACATTGCTTTTTAGTACACTCTTGGACAGGCTACACACCTGTAGTAACTGCACTGCTGTGTAAGTGATAAAGCAGATGGCACAGCTATTGTTTGGGCTTTTTCCTTGCTTTCTTCACAGCTGCCATAAACTTCCTACGATCCCTGCTGGAGCCAGACCCTGCAAAGAGACCAAACATCCAGCAGGCCCTGGCAAATCGCTGGCTCAACGAGAATTACCCTGGAAGAGCACCGCCCAACGTCACCTACCCAAACAGGTACTGCCTGGAGGGGAGGAGAAAGCCCGCCAGGGTGTCTGCACATCGTGTGTGTGAAAATGTGAACAGGTCTGGGGCTTCAGTTCCACTCCTGTGACACCATCCCAGCGCGTTTTCTGGGATTGCTTTTGTGACTCCGTCATGGAAGTTGTTAGGATTGAGTAAGTGTTGCTTGGAATGGTCCAAAGCAATACCTTAAATTAGAAGCTGGCCTGCAGTGTATTATTTATTTGCAGGGTGGTCTGGGGTGCAGATCATGGGATTAATTGGCTCCATGGGAATGGGGATGTGTGACGGGCAGTTCTGATCTCCTTGTGATTCAGTGAAATCCAGGTTACTTTTCTTACAGAGCCTACTTGTGCTATATCCATGAGGCTCTGTGGATTAAGTGAAAAGGTCAAAGTTAAGTGATCCTGCCTTCTTGTTCATCTTGAACCTTGCTGAATACATGGCTAAATGCAGGAAGAGAACAAATCTCGTGGTCAGTCAAACATCCATCCAGGGAAAAAGAAAAAGCGGGAAAGATACTTGTGGTCCACTTTGGTGTTAGAAATAATCTTGCTTGACTTCAAACACATGCAGAGCTGCCACATGAGCCAGCCAGGCAAGGCCTTCCTTGCAGTCAGTGCCGAGAAACAAGGGCACTCTTTACATAAGGATTCATCTGCCTTCTCTTTGATCCTGCCTTAGGATGACTCTGTGCCCAGGAGACACCAGTTCCTCTCCTGTGACTGTAAATGGAGCCTCGGGCAACTCACTTGGAAATACAAGCCTGTGTTTGATCAGATAAAACCTCCTTGCTCTATCAAAGCCCTCCAGCTGTGCCTCACACGCAGCCCGGTACCTGCAGGAGGTACCGGCTCGCAGCTCAGCCAACACCCAGGCAAAGGCTGCAAATTAAAGCCTAATTTTGCTGCTTAAAATTTGATAGTGCTCCAGAATTTCTGTCCTGACTTCGCTAAGAGGAGAGTCCCTCAGTGAAGATCATAATTTCCCCCCCCTAGAAAGCAGATGTAGGGTGTGCCTGGAGGTGCGATGACTTTTATCTGAACGTCGGATCCTCCGTCCTCCACCCAAAAAGGATTTGGTGGTCACCAGCCAAACAAAGACACTCTTTGTTGTCTTTGACCTGTGAGGAGAATCACAGGTTTTACACCCTCAAAGTTTATGCTGGGTGGGTGTTGAGCAGCTTGGATGCCAAGGAGGGGCATCACCAGGGACCATCCGAGGGGGCCTGCAGTGCCCAGACCCGCCTGGACACAATATAAAGGTGGCCCCTGCAAAGAATTGTTTCACAAGGAATGAGAGCAGGCAGATCCTTTCTCTTTGACCTCCCTGCTGCAAATTTAAGGGCAGTTGAGTTAAATTTGCCCAGTGTGGTGTTCGGCAAAAGGAGGTCTGAGTGTCAGTGGTGCATTGGACTGTGCATGTGAACTGTTGTGTGGTAAAGAAAGGGAAAACAAGTGTAAACTGAATGAGTCATTAAGCTAATGAAATCACTGTCATAATGAGCCCAATCAATCCACTAAATGTGGCATCTGTTAAGTCAGTGTAAGTGTAACAGGGAGCTGGAGGGGTAATTTAATTCTCTGTCTGTTTGAGTCTTAGCTGCAGAAGAAAGGAAAAAAAAATACAGAAGTAAGGCTTCAATGTGCTTTCACGATTCTTTTGCATCTGTAGGTGTGTTTTCATGCCTCTGTTTTTAATTCCTGGCTTGCAGTTGTCAGGCTTTTGTGAGGTTGTGGTTCCCTTCCAGAGTTGGCTTAGTGCAGTGCAGTGCAGTGAGGTGGGCAACTTCTTCCCTTCTTTCTTTCTCGTTGCACTGATTTTTCCCATCATTTTGTCAGAAATTAAGAGAGAAGTAGATACTCCTTCTACCTGAACCCAGATTTCATTGGAAGCTGTAAAGGATAAAAGCCACAGAGATTCCTTCACTTCATTTTTTTGTAATAATGTTTGCTTTAGTTTCACGAGTTGATGCCCCAAGCTTTACCTACCCAGACTTTGTCATGCTGGAGCTTTACAGAGGAAATAATCTGTAAAGTTTGAAATATTTAAATATGTAGCCTGACTCCTTTTGAGTTTGCCTCAGAAAGTACCACCAGAGTCAGCTCCTGTGGAATTTCTCCCAAGTTTTCCTTAGTGTGCAGATACGGATAAGGTGTGTTGAAGCAGTGTGTTAAAAAATCCACTGCTGAATTTGCAAAGAATCAATTCCTCTCTTAATCAACACAGGAGAAGCTGTGTTATGTTCTTGCACTATTCTGGGCGTAACACCCATTGTTCCAAAGACAGGAACGTGGTAGGAAAGGGAAGAACGTGGAGATAAGGTGGAAGAACGGCAAAAAAACTGCGTTTTCGAGAGAATATTCTCTCCCAGGCTTTTTATAAGCTGGCTTTTGTTAAAGAAATTCCCTGGAGGCAAGCAGAAAATTTCCCGTTTTGCTGAGCGCTGCGAGTGGAAATTGCTTGAATTTCTTTTGCCGTACAGATGTCTCAACGTGCAATGGCCGAGATAAGTTTTGCTTTTGAACTTGAAGAAAACCCCAACCCCGAGCATTTCTTTGGGGCAGAAAGGCTGTTAACAAGCAGGGGGAACAAAGGGAAAGAGTTGTTTGAGATTTTCCAGACTGGTTTTTTGGGTTTTTTTCTGTTAAACACTGGCTTACATCTTGCCTTAGCCCCGTAGATCAGACCCAGGCTGCTGTCTGGGCATTCCTCACAGCACAGGTGCACAGGACAGGGGGGGACAGCAGGGCAGGAGTGGGAAAGGTGGGAATGATCCTCTGGAAGGGGGAAGACAACTGGCAAAAACGCCCACAGCATAAGCTCCCCTGTGTTGCCTTAGCCAGATACTAGGCTTGATATTAGGAGCGAGGAATATCCTTTAGAAACCAAGTGAAACCCAGCATTTCTTTGGAGATGGATGGGAGTTGACAGATACATCTGGGACTCTGGCCAGCACACTTAGAGGTCTAAATAGGAGCGGAGTTCTTTGGAAAATCTGGTTTTAACTTAGACTGAGATGATGCCATTTCCACTCCATTTCTTGACTTGGCTGAGCCCGTTATAGACTCTGTGGAAGTGCAGATACATAAACACGGCTTGGATGTGTGCTTTTAACTGACAGGGGTATAACAGCAGTGTTACCACTCTGAGAGCTGCTGCAGTAACACTGCACATCCCCCTTTTCCAGCAGGAAATTCCCTCTCTACTCTGCGCACGGATATTGTGCGACAAGTAAGGCGTGAAGCTGAGTGCCAGGGGTGTTTGACTGCAAGGAAAAGGACTTTTCAGGGACCTGTCTGGGTTGGATTTGACCTCTTTTCCTTCAAAACCATATGGATGCTGTGATTCTGTGACAATCCTGATGGTCCTCACCGGTAACAGGGTAACAAACGGCTCATCCTGAGCATCACGGTGCCGTCTCATACCAGGGATGGACAAGGTGGGCTGAGTCCTGTTTGTTCAGCTCTCACAGCTTCCTGCAGTGCCAGTGATTCCCAGACAGCCTGTCCTTTTAATGGGAAGAGAGAGATAGCCACTCCCATGTCCCTGAGCCCGTCAGGCTGTGCCTGGTCCCCCCCGAGGCTCCGTCACTGGCAGGATGGTTCCAAACGCCAGGATGGCTCAAACTCAGTGCTCTGCCTTCTCCCCCCCGTGCAGGATTCACCTGGAGGACCTCAGCCAGAGTGTCCTGCTCCACATGACCGAGAAGCTGGGCTACAAGAACAGCGATGTCATCAACACCGTGCTCTCCAACAGGGCCAGCCACACGCTCGCCATCTACTTCCTGCTCAATAAGAAGCTGGAGCGGTACCTGGCCAGCCTGAGGGTGAGCTCTGCTTCCTTCTGGTTCTCTGCACGAGCGGCTGAGCCTGGTGGGGGGGAAAAAAAGACCTAAAAGTTCCCCTGCTTGCTGGGAAACTCAAGGCTTCACCTGAGTTTTGAGGTGGTTTTTTTTTGTTTCCTAATTTTGTAGCCCTAAGGGGAAGCGTTCCTTGCAAATTAATAACATTATTCCAGGTAAGAATTCCCCAGTAGTTGCTGATAGGCTTCTTGTCTCCCTGTTTCCATAGGAGATCCCCTCCTGCAGGGCATTTACCCTGCAGAAAGCAAACTGTTGCCATGCAGAGCCTCATGTGCACGTGGTGATTCAGTGATTGTGATGAGCTGTGTCCCTGTGCCGACGTGGCTCTGTTGTTTGAAATATCAGTAATGCCACGTGACTTGATTCAGGACATCAAGAGGAAGCTTGAGAGCTTATTAAGGTTTTATTTAGCTTTTAAGTGAAAACTTGGGTGAAAGTGTGACGTGATCTGGCCTCCTGCTGACCTTCCTGGCCCCTGAGTATGTCCTGGGCCTTCCAATTTGACAGCAGCTTCTTCATTTTTTATTTTTCTCCGTTCTTTTCACGAGAATGTTTTACTGATGATGCCACCGGTGGCATTTAAAATGTAGTGGACCAAAACCATCAGCTCTGCAAGTTGATGCTCCTCCACTGAATGCAAGAGTGGATACAGCACATTAAGCAATAATTGAACATTATTTTTCTCTAATTATCCCACATGTTTTACTTTTCTGTGCTTTTCTCTCCACAGAAGGCTGAAGGCCAGGACAGTGTTTGCCACAAGAACCAGCTCTACCAGATAGAAAAATACAAGGCAAATAAAGACTCCTATGAGGTAAAGCTCATCAAAGCTTGTTAAAGTGGTTTGAAAACAGATTGAATTTGGGGATCCTTGGTGATTGTGATCAAGGTGATGGGTTTGTGGACACGTGGAGAAAAAAAAAAGACCCGTGGTCATTCCTGTGCAGGACAAATAATTCCCTCAATTCCTTTGCAAAGGAGCTAATAGCAACCCCCTGGAGTGGAAGTGTGAAGGTGACTTTGAGGTTTTTTTAAGAAATTAAAAGGTTTTAAGGCTCTATTCAGCAAAATAATGTAAACTTAATCATAGGGCTCCATAATTTCATTCTGGAGTGCAAGTTGCTGGTGTTACAAGATCAAAATTGAGTCTTCTTGAGACTCTCCTTGAATCTTAAGACCTTGGTGGTGTAGTGCAGAGAACTCTGCTCTCCAGCCTTTTTGCCTGTGAGTAGAGAAGGTTATTTTTTATTAAACCATGGCTGGATTTTTCTTCCCTGGCTGATTCTTTGCCAAGCACTAAAATTACAAGAGTAATCTGAGCTGTGCAAGTCTTCCCTGCCAACACAAAGAGCAGCATTCTTGAGGAGTCTGCCTGCTTCAAAAGCTACTCCTCAGCTCTGGATTGATGATCTAATTGCAGGGGCAGATCTGTGTCGTGGCTGGGTTTGTTTGTCACAAAGGCTCCTTGCAAGACGAGCTGAGCTGCAAGCCATGGAAATAGCAGGGCAAAGTACTTTCTCTTTCCTTCCATAAATCAAAACCATCTTACTTAAAACGTATCAGCAGTGGGTAGACTCAATGAATATAATATTTCACAGTGCTCTGACAGCTTATTCAAGCTGTTGCAGAGCAGCCTTTCCCTGGAAGCACAGGCAGGTACCAGGATGCTGCAGTGGAGCATCTCGCTGCTGCCTGGACCGGCTTCCTCCTGCTGCTGCTGCCACTTCTCTGTGCAGTGGCAGGGCCAGGGATGGCTCTGCCAGCCATCCAGGAATGGGCTCACAGCTTCTGTGCACTGACCCTGTGCAGGGGAGGCTGCAGCAGGGCCTGCCTGCAGATGATGTTTGATTTCCCTAAGGATAACTGGAAACCAGCGGCACTGCCGGTGCTTGGCCCCAGTTTGCTTCGAGGGCATGCTTAGGGATAAAACTCCTTCCAAAGCCTCTCCTGCACTCAGAGTTAGTCCCAGGGTAGCTATTTAGAGGATGAGGGGGTGTCATGTCTTTCTTGAAATAGTTACCAGGATGTACTCACAGTGCAGACACTGCAAGAACAATAACACAGTCTGTTCTCTTTCTGCATGGGCACAGCTGAGGATAGAAGTGTTCAGGGCCAGCTTGGACAGGGCTTGGAGCATCCTGGGCTAGTGGAAGGTGTCCCTGCCCATGGCAGGGGGTAGAACTGGATGATCTTTAAGGTCCCTTCCACCCCAAACCAGTGATTCTACAATGTTTTCTGTTGCTTCAGCTGTATTTCCACAAGGGGATTACATGATTCTTACTGTACCAGGACAGGTGGAGCTGCACAGGGAGGGGAATGCAGGCCCTGGGGTGCTACTGCCACTTGTATCTAAGGTAGAATCTCTCCTAGAATGCCTTCATGTGGGTGGCAACACAGCCCTGGCAGTGCCAGCTCATGCCACTGGCATCAGCGGGTGCCACCGGCACTCAGGGCCAGGGGATTTGTGAGCTCAGGAAGTTTCGTGGGCTGGAGAGAGAGTCCCCTTACCCCTCCCTGCCACTTCCAGAGTGGGAACTGGGAGGCACTGGTCCCCTGGCAGGCACTGCACAAGAGCAGAGCCGTTTGTTGCCATGGGAATAGCAGGGAGAGGGATGGGAGGGATGGTCAGCGGTGGCTGCAGCTGACGACTGAGTTTCCTGAGTTTCGTTCACTTCAGCGATGGGAAATAAGGACTTGGCCTCAGGCAGGGGCTGCCAGCAGCTGGGGCAGGCTGGGGGCATGGGGGCAGTGGTCATGCCAAGCCACTGTTCTCCACTGGGGTTTTTTTAGCGTGCTGGGAGCTGCTGGCAGTGCCAAGGAAACCAGGCTGTTGCAGGCTGGTTTCACCGGAGCGCTCAGCGTGGACAGGGAGGAGGGAGGCAGGCACGAGTCTGTGTCTCTCTCTCATCTCTCTTTTAGTGGGATGAGTGGCTGGTCCCTCCAGAGCACCCAGGGGAGCAGGCTGGGGGTACCTGCCTCCCCCCAGGGCAGCTGGGGGGCTCAGACCCAGGGAATGTGCAGTTTTTAGGAGCTTATGTCACTACCCTGTCACCATTTCAGACATGGCCAAGGCAAACACCCTTTATCTGCCTTTCAAATCCGTTGCTGGGACTGAGGGTAGGTTTGAGGGTCAAGGTCAGGACAGGAAATAGCAGAGGATGATGTAATTCCCAAACCTATCAAGTATAAAGTACCGGTACAACTCCTGCATTGTGGGGCAGCGCGACACGGCCAAGCAAACTCTTACAACTCCCCCGAGTGAAATCTTCCTTCCCTTTTAAAATATAACAGTGTGTGGCACTTTGGGGAGTCTAGGATTCGGTCATTTCCCCTCTCTCACAGCCTTGGTCATTAAGGAGCAACGTTAATAGCTTTAAAAACACTTCCAAGACCGTTTGCAGTGCTCATCCAGCGTGAACTAATTAATTGCTAAGACCAGATAACGTGAGTTTTCTTTGCTGTGGGTGCTTGAATTGGGTGGTGTGGCTGAGAAAACACCCCAGCAGGGTGAAGGCCACTGCCTATATTGTGGCAGGAGGTGATTCACACAGCAATATTATTATTATTATTATGAATATTATTGTTAATATCATCATCACTATTGCTGCTGTTACTCCTTCATCCTCTTTTTAAAAAAGACCTGTAATCCCAGTGACTTTTTAATAAGATGCAGCAAAACATGTTGCTTAAATGGGAATTATGACCACAGGAAAAAACACCAAACCAGCCAGAACAAAAGGCCCTCTTCTTTGGGAGGGACATCTCAAACTACGCCACCCCACTCTGTTCCAGAAAGGCAAGATACCCTTGGAGCCTTTGGGGGGTAGCAAAATAAAGCCACGAAGTTGAGGCCTGATTTTTTTGGATGTGAAATAAGACCTTTGGCTCCCCCAGAAATCAGTGGTGAAGGGTGTTTTCACAGCTTGCTGAATCCAGCCATGGAAAGAAGAGGCAGTGAATTTTCGCTGTAAAACAGTGCTTTGAAAATTGGATTCCTCTTCAGAGTCCTACTCCCAGGTTCTGTTTTTCCTCTGTCATCCCTGGAGATCAAACCTATCTAGGATGTGTGCTCTTGCAATCCCACCTTCAGCTCTTCCCCCTCATGACTTGCAGTTAGGGCTCAGGGAAAGGGTGGGCCAGGAATTTTCTCCCCTTCCGTGTCTTGTGCAGTTGCAGAGATGTTGTAAAATCAAGGGCCATATTCCTCCAGATCTTGTCTGGAGGGAAAATAAATGATTTAAAGTGTTTAAACTTCTTTAAAGCTCGGCAGCTCACCTTTTTAAAAAGTCAGAGGAAGTGGAATAAAGAGAAATCAAAGACCTTTTTTGGTGCTTAAATAGGGTATTTCACATATGGAGGAGCAGATACAGGAGCACATACCTGTATCTGCTTCCTCCAGTGAGGACAAAGGTCCTCTGAAGAGAAAACTTTCCTTTTCCTTTAATTTTCCAAACCCATCTTTCTCACTGCCTGGGTGTCAGAGCAGATGGAAGCCATGAAATTGTGTCAGAGGAGAAATGAGACGTGGCAGATTTAGTTATTCTGAGTTGGTCAGGATAAGTTCCTTGTAAGTTATTCTGAGTTAGTCAGGATAAGTTCCTTGTAAATGTGAAGTTCTTAACCCAGCTTGGGTAAGCGGAGTGCTCGCGCATTGCTGAACCTTCCCTTGAGTAAACCCAACTGTTCTTGTCTGTTTTACAACCTAAAGGGCAAAAAACTCAAAGAACAAGGAGAGAAAGGGGAGATTCTTCACCGTCAGCCCCCAAAGAAAACTGAGAAAGGTCCAGTTTCATATAGACAGCCTTCTTCCTGTCTTGTCTCACAGATCCAGAACACCAAGGCTCTGCTGAAGGACCGGAAAGGCGCCAAGGCTGGGGGTCCCGAGAAAGGTCAGTGGGAGAAACGCCCGTGGGGCGTCCCTGTGTGCGGTGTTAATGAGCGTTAACGAGCGTGTCCCGTGCGTGGTGAGTGTTTGTGAGTGAAAAATGGGCTTGCATTGCTGTCAGCTCAGGAGCCGGTGTGGGAAAGGATGGGATAACGTCGTGGAACGTGGAGCGAAACGTCCTGAACGGCGCTCAGAGCTCTCACTTTTACTTCTCCTCGTGTTTGACAGAGTTCCTGCAGTGCTTTCAGAAAAAAAAAAAAAAAAAAAGCTTTCTTTCCCTATTTACACAAAATCGTCTGCACTCACGCTGGTGTTTTGAAAGCATCAACACCCACCCCAGATCACTGACAAACCAGAGCTGGTAGACAAGCTTCTTCCTACCACGGAATGTGTTTTCCTGAGAGGGGGCTGAGGAGCAGCACGGGAGAATCCCTGACCCTGGGGATGTGCCAGTAGCAGTGGCATTGCTGGGAGGAGCAGTGGGCAGCAGCTGGTGGTGGAGAAAGGGGGAAGGCAGGTGGGACTGGGAAACTCAGCACATTTCAGGCAGCAAAGGGAGGGGGAAAAAAAAAAAACGTGAGCAGGGAAAGGAAAAGATGTGACAGCCAGAGGAGACCACTAATCACACAGGGTGGGAGGGATGGGTGAGAGCTCCTGGCAAAAGGAGGTGGGAGAAGGGAGTAGAGGGAAAGGGGAGTGTTGGTAGTGCACACGTGGAGGGGAGACCTTGAGGAGCAGGAAGGGGATGTAGCTGGTTGCTAAATAAGGAACTAAATAAGGGGTGATCACTGCAGAGCAGTGTGGGGAAGTAGAGTGATGTAAAAGCACTTGCTGTGGTGTCAGGGGGTTATTTAGAGTTGTGGATGCTCCTTCTCATGACTTCATATATCAACCTGAAAAAAAAAAAAAATAGGTCCAAATGGTGTTTGTGTGGCAGCAGAACCAGAAGCAACAGGAGTCCAGAGTGCTGGTCAGAAATGGGACATACTTCCTGTGAAAAATATTTTAAAAAAACCACTTAAAAATGCCCATTTTGCTCCCATTTGTTGTCCCTTTTGGGAGGAAGGCACAGGGCAAAGTCAACTTGTTAGGTTTTATTCCTCTTTAGGTTTCCCCCTGCTTTTTTGATCCGAAACCTGAAAATCATTCGGATCTCAGCTAAAGCATTTTTTTTTATAGAAACCATATTTTGACACATCTTAAATGAAGTGGTCAAATAATTTAGTGGTCAAATAATTCTTTTAGAAAGAAACTGGTCGGATTAACCTTGGTCTGCTTTTGCCAGACAGCCCTGAGTGTGAGATTCCATCCTGATCATCCATTCAGGTCTCAACACCTGATGAGACCCTCCCTTCACAAGGGATACGTGTGAGATTTGTGGCTGTGACCTGAGGGCCGGCAGACCTAAATTATTTTAGATCCCTTTTAGGTGGTTTGAGGGAACTCATGGGCAGTGATTAACTGGTGGCTTAATTCAATTAGGGAGACTTGGCAATCAGGCTCCTTGGACAGCTTTCCATAAAGGCAGCAAAACGTGCTTGGCATAAGCCAGTGCCAGCATCCTGTAGGAACTGGGCAGATCTTCTCCACAAGCTGCCTTGTTTTACTGGGCCAAATCCTGCAAAGATTGTTCCGTTTATTTTCAGTCCTTGCTGGAGGAAGGTTCGTGCTGAAGACGATGCAGCAAATCTGTTCCAACTATAACAGCCTGAGTCTGGCCAGTGCAGCTACTCCACATTCACATGTCTGAAACCAAGAGCAGGTTCTGTTCCAAAATGCGAGGAAGGACACCAGGGATTAACTCACTGGGGCTCTAGGTGTGGCACTAAACACAGGACACAGATCCAGTAAGAGCCAGACAAAGCTGTGCGGAGAGAAGGCGAAACGTGAGATTTATCAGGATATAATTAATACAAACAGCTGAAAACACCTGTGGTTTTTCTTTTCGAGTCCTTGTCCCACTCAGTTTAAGCTCCCCTGCTGCCTTTGAGGGAAGTGGCAGATGAATTTCCCGTGGAACAGCAGCGTAAGTATCGAGTGAGAGTCAGGGAATTGGGTTCTGGGTGTGCGTCCCTGAGTCAGGGAACGAGGTTCTGAGAGTGTGTGTATGTGTCCCCAAGAGCTTGTGGTGCCTGGTGCCTGTCAGGCCCCTGTGCAGTGTGTCCAGGGGATGTGGGACCTGCCTGCTGGGGGAAGGCAGTGCCGGTGACTCCAACCCACTCTCCTGGTTCCCTCTCCGATTGCTTTGCAGACTCCAGCGGGGGGGTGAGCCCTTTCCACGAGCCCCTGGCGACCAAGGCAGGCTGTGTCACTTCCAGCTCCCTGGAGTACCTCGAGGTCCAGCAGCCGCCCCCCAGGACCCCTCGGCTCCTCAAGAGGCAGGAATCCCCCCCGCAGCAGGAGCCGGCCCGGAGCGGGGGCCGAGCCAAGGACTCCCCCCTCATCCTCAACATCGTGCACTCCTTCGAGTCAGTCGACAGAGACGACCAAATAGACCAGGTTTCCCCCTCTCACCAGTACAGGATTTTAGGCTCCCCAATGAATTTCCCCTACAAAAGCTCCAGTGAAAGGACACTGTCCCCGCTCTTCCCCCCGGGGAGCACGTCCCCCGTCCACCCCACCCAGGTGTCTTTCACCTACGAAGAAAAAGCGTATCCGGCGAAGGAAGAAGCCGTGTCCCCCACCCAGCTGGTGCCCAGCAACCCCCTGGGCAGCCCCAACTGCGTGAAAAGCAGGGGCAGGTTCCCCATGATGGGGATCGGACAGATGCTGAGGAAGAGGAGCCAGACGATGCAGTCGGCCGGCGAGAAGCTGCTGGAGGCCAGGATGCCTCAGCTGCAGCAGATGAGCCCCACCCAGATCTCCTTCAGCACAGCAGATGCTGTCAGCGGCCAGTGCTAGCCTGACATCCTGGGATTTGCTCTGCTCTGCTCTGGGATCTCACCTTTTTTTCCTCTTTAACCAAGAAGGGAAAGCCACGGGCACGTTACTGTCGCTGCGGATCACACCGCAGTGCTCCAGCACGGGAAACAGGAGGTTTGCTGGTGAGGAAGGTGGTTTCCTGCATATTGAAGTTGAAAGAAAAGGGCTCTGCTCGTGCTGTTAAGTAATATTAGCATTTGGCACCTGACTGTACAGCAAAACATGTCCTGGAAGAGCCGGGTGAACGTGTACTTTCACTGCTCTCACCTGGGGCTGCAGCGGGGCTGGTTGGAGGCGGCGAGGGTTTGGCTCCTCAAGGGGATGCTTGTGGTGCCAGGATCTGTGGTAAGACTGTCCCTGCTCCCCCTGCCTGTGCCACACAGGACGTGGCACTGCTCCAGGCATTGTTCACGGGGTGGGCAAGGGGAGAAACTCCAGACACTCTGTCCAAAGTCAGCCTGCTGACGAGCACTGCCGAGGAGATGGCGGTGCTGTGAGCTTGAGTAAAAAGACACAAGTGATCTCAGCGTTCAGAAAAAGTGGGAGTGCTGGAAGTCAAAGCAGATTTTACTGTTGGTTACGTGAAGTAGCTCTAAAACCAGAATAATTTTTCTTCCCTTAAAAAAAAAACCCACTGATTTAATCACATCACTCGCAAGAAACGGGATTATTTAAAAACAAGTGTGGAAATGCACCTCGCTAAAGGCCTGCTCCTTTCATGGGATGGGTCTGCAAGAAGATGCATCAAGCAGAAATCCATATTGCAAAAGGCTGTGTTCAAACAACCCAGCCCACACCTGCACTGGCCCCTGTTACAGCAAGGCAGCTTTGGACGCACCTGAAGGCTTCTCTGAAAGACTGCAGTGAATTAAAATGACCAATAAAGGACACATGAACCTGTACCGAGGTTGTTTTATACTCCAGGATTGGTAATGCAGTGGTTACCAAAAACTGGGGGGTGTTATGAGCAGTGAAGATTAACTTTCTTAAGAGATACCATGTCCTGCATACTGGTCATGGTTTTTTAAGTAAACAATACATCTGAGAGGTTGGCAACATTTTTCTTTTTGGTTTTGTTTTTGTCTTCAACCCCATTTCCTATAAATTAGAAGGTTTAGCCCTATTTTCATCGATATTTTTGCAAACAGTTTTGTCACCCCCTTGGTTTGGTGTCCAGGCAAATGCTGAGAGTGGGAGTTACCCCTTTTTGAGGTGTTTTCCTTCCAGTTTCATGAGGAAGATTTTCAGGGGCTGGCTGGGGCAGGGGAGGAGGTCCCCAGCAGAGCCCACAGCTGGGCACGTGTTCCTGGTTTGCAGCATAACACATTACACCAAAATCTGCATCCCAACAGGATGAGAAAGACAGCCCTGAAATAATTTCATTCGTTTTCACATCAGAAAGTGTTGTACTCTGTTTGTACAGAGCACCTGTGCGTCCCAGGGGTCCATTTAGGCTCTTCTCATTTAGAAATGTCAAAGCATTTTCGTTTCCTTCGTGCTAAGAACATGTCTGTGCTGCAGAGGCAGCGAGCAGGGACCACTGAAATCAGGGATCACTGAAATCAGAGACCACTGAGATCAGGGACCACTGAAATCCCACCTTTTTTGTGTGCCAGACTCACGTACCTGAACAGATGGCAGATGCTGACTTGAATCACAAACTCAGGTTTATTTGGAACCCAATAAGAGGTTGGGGGGAGGCAGGAAAGAGACCTGTATTTTTTGTGAAAACCCAGTAAATATGTGTAAGAATCAGAATGAAAGCAAATGTTAAATCTTTTATTATATTTATAGAGAATATATGAGTACTACACTGCTAAAACATAACCTTGTATCCAGTGTAGACAGTAGCTCTGTACAGTCCAACTGCAGTGACCGTAGAAGGGACTTACTGAAATGCCACAGTGGAAATTCCAGGGGGGGGGAAGCTGTATTTGGTATCATTATTAAATACATGTACTTTTTGGACAAGATTGCCATGGACTGCTGACTCTGTTTACCAGGTCACTGCATAGCAAAGGATAATCTCAGCACAGAAAAAACCCTCCAAGCTAGGTTGGATAGGGCTTGGAGCAACCTGGTCCGGTGGAAGGTGTCCCTGCCCGTGGCAGAAGTATTTTCGTTCAGGTTTTTTTTTTTTTTTCCCCAGCTCTTCTGCCTGGAAAAACAGGTGTTGAATTTATTCAGCGAGAAGGAAGGGAAATAATCGGCATCTGTTGTTAAAGGGCTTTGTGTCTTTGTGCTTCTCCTGTAAATGGGCTGCTGAATATTAAAATTCCTGAGCGCAGAGGTTTACAAATCCTAAAAGTAAATAACAATTACTTTGGTGCTTTTGCACTTGACATCACTTGATCTTTGCAATAAAATCCCTCGGTGCGCAGCTGGAAACGGGTTGGGTCGGGTTTGAAGGAGTCTTTTCAGTCCCCAGTGCACCAGGAAAGTGGTTTGTCAGCGAGTCCCTGGGAAAATGGGATGGAGGTTTTCCTGCCCCTTTATTTGCTCCTTTGTAATGCGGCTTTAAACTTCACTGTTTGAAGCACCCCAAACTCATTACGGGCTGTGCTTATCACAAAGTGAGCAGGAACTTCAGGGACGTTATTGCTGTGCGCAGGAGTTTGGCTTCTCCGTGGGTTTTCCCTGTGGTTTTTTTTTTTAATCGTCCGTGCCCAGAAATGGTCGATTTTCTCTTTTGTATTCCCGGCCAACATCGGTGCGGGTTTCCCGCGGCATGTTTGCATTGCCTTAATTGCCTCTCTCGGAGATGGCTTGAGGATGTTTGTAGGGGAGGGAGGTGAAAACATCCGGAGTCTTTTCAATATTTAATCTCAGAAGAAGCCCGGAATATGCTGCTTTCTGTTGCTGGGGTACGGGCAATTAGCTGTTGTTAGGAACAAAGGGCATCGGCGTAGAGCCTGGAGTGGGATTTGGAGTTTATCTGCCCGCTGATGCCAGGGCACCCAAAGCCCAAGAGAGGACAAATGAGAGGTTTATTATTATTATATCTAGGCTTGGTTTAAAATTTTGGTTATTATCTAAGAATGGAATTACGGTATTTTTGACATACAGAACATAAATATATTTATTAATGTTTATGTTAATAGCACTCTTCTTCCTGTACATGTAAAAATCCTCCAATTCCTTCTGTCTCCTACAACCAGGAAGGACAGGCTCAATCTAAAACAAAGAAAGGCCGCCAGAGGCTTTATTTCCAAACAGCTTCCCCCTCTTTCTGTTTCTCTGAAGGGCGGAATATTGTCCTGCGCTTGCAGCTGTGGGACAAAATGAGGTTTTCCCCCTCCCATCTTTGCCTGCCCCAGACGGCAGGAACCGTCTCAGCAGAGACAGCCGGGCTTGGCTTTCTCTGAGAGTCACCAGAGTGATTATTAACTCAGACAGATGAAGGGGAAGACAAGGGCCTGGGGAGGGACAGCTCTCCCACAGCTGGAGCCTCCCAAAACCACCCATGGACCACCCATCCCTTTCTTCTTGCGCTCGCCGCCCTCCCCGGGGCTCTGCCTGACCCGCCCCTGCCCTCTCCCACCCCGACGGGGCTGGTTTTTTGCAACACTTCACGAGGAGGGACTGAGCTGGGAAATAAGTGACTTGTTTGCCAGGCTGCTCCCCTTTCCTGCATCAGGGAGGGGACAGGAGCGACACAGGACTGCCACTAGTCCCCCCCACCCGTCCAAGGTCCCGCAGAGCTGCACCCCCGGGTGCCCGCGGACAGGTATTTTAGTGTACTTGTTCTGCCAAGAAGTTACTGCAAAATGGAAGGGGGATAATTATTCGGGGAGGGGAGGCCCTTTTACAGCCTTTCATTTCCCTTTTTCACCCCACGGATGCGCCTGGATGTGAGCCCCCTGTCCTCTCCCCGTGCCTGGGCTGTCCCGGGTGCCTCAGGGCGCAGTTATCCTGCTGCTGTTCCACACCCGTGCTTGGTGGGGGTTCGGCTCCTCCGAGGGGGTTGTCACTCCCCCTCTCCTCCCGGTCCGATGATGGGGCAGCGCTGCCTGTGTGAATTCAAGGAGCTGCCGGTGCTTTGGAGCAGTTCGATCTGGCAAATTCCCGCGGATGCTCCGAATTTTCTTCTTCTCAGAGCTGTGCTCTCTTTTCCAAGCAGAAAAGATGTCACATTTAGGTCTGCTCCGCAGAAGGAAGCTCTTAACTGCCTACAGCAGGAGTGCAGTCCCCTCTTTGCCTGTGCTGAGGCACCAGGAGAGGACTTGCATGGCACAGGTACGTGCCAGTCTCAGCTCCAAGACATGTTCCTGCAGGATTTGGCACCTGACCCCTGCACCACCCTGCCCACAGCCGTGGGCACAGCCAGGAGAGATGCTCGTGCTCCATCCTCTGAGTGAGGAGCTGGGCTGGCAGATGGCCTGGGCTTGGGACTAGAGCGTGTAACACAGCCTGTCTCTAAGTGTCAGCAGAACGCTCCCTTCCCCGCCCCCAACCCAGGTTTTTTTTCCTGGGTTGTGATCCCACATTTCGTTCCCGACTGTGCCAGGGCTGGGAAGGACGTGCTGCTCCCACAGACCTGCCTTGGGACCCTGCAGAGTTGCAGCTCTTTCTGATTTCCCTGGCTTTGAGCTCAGCCCCGAGCCAGGGCTTTACACACAGTGCAGGGTGTTCTGTGAGGTTAAACCCCTCCGTTAGATGTAGGACAGGAGACCCTCCAAACAATCCAAATCCCACTGTTCCTCTGACAAACCAGCCCTGATTCCCACCATCTCTGCCCTTGACAGGGGCCTGATCCAGGCCATAGGGATTCTTCTGCTTCAGGAATTTCCCCCTAAGCACCTGGCCTGCACACCTCGATGTCAGTCCAGAGGGAAAAACCTCCCTTTGCCCTCAGGCAATGCACACCAGCGTGGAAAAATGCTCCTTCCAGAAAACAAAATCATCTCACGAGCCTGATTTAAGGATGGCCAAACATGACAGGGAAGGAAGGATGCCATGAAACAAATATCCTCCACTTTTCCTGTCTTTGCAGAGGGGAGCCTAATGCTGTGTGCCCGGGCAGCTGCTTCTCTTCCCAGCCCATCCTTTCCTCGGGACATTTTCTCCTGCTTGAGTTGTGGTTGCCAGGAGAGCAGCTGGCATGGGCAGTGTCATCCTCGGGCAGCGCTGTCTCATCTTTATTGAGTTACCTGCAATCCCCTTTGGATGAGGACACCAAATCCCTGGCTGCAGCCGGGTTAGGAACCGATTAGTTACCTGTGCATCCCGGGCTGGGAGGATGGGATTACCTGGCAATTAGAGAAGCTCAGGCTCAGCTTGTTGAGGGGGATGCTGACATCTCGGAAACAATTCCAACAGGCGTTTCACGCTGACCATCCTCGCCCCAAAATACCTTTCAGGCACGCTAAATGAAACCTTGAAAGTCGTTTCCTTAAACCCGCCGTGGTTTGTGCTCGGGGGGATGAGGGACAAGAAAGGCAAACTGCCGGCAATTACCCTTGTCACTGCCTGTCTGAGTGCCAGGCAGCACCATGGTGACAGCCCTGCTCAGGCCCAGGTACTGACCTGGAAACACGATCCAGCTCTGTGGGGGTGTTTCATCTTCGAAAGGAAAGGTAATTGATGCCTCGGAGCGGCCGCTGTGCCCTCAGAATCTTAAAGAGCTACCGACTCTACAGTGGTTTTTAATAACTAGTCACGTAAACCCAGGGTGGCACTCATGCATTTTAATGGCCATGAATATTATTGTTCATTAATATCCAGCTCACAGGGGAGTGTCTGGTGGCTGATTCACACCAGGTAAGGGGTTTGCAGCATCACTGAGTGTTTTCTGCCCCTCGGTGTGTGTCTGTCTGCGCCGTTGGCCAAGCTCAGCCACAGCTCACAGGGATGAAGTGGTTGCAGGAATCACATTGTTCCTGGAAGTTCCACGGGAGGTAGAACACACAGGGAGGTTGAGAAGCCATTGCCTGTCTCCCCCACGGGAGGCTCAATCACTCCCTCTGCTCATGCAACTGCTTTTTGTCCTGCAGTGATGTCCCCTTCCTTCCTCCTTTAAAATGCAAGGATCTCCTCCCAGCTGGCTGTTAAGTTTGGCATCTCAATCCTTCTCAAACCCACAGCAAGCACCGAGGGCTTTTCTCCTTTTCCCATTCCTTTTTTCCATTCTTTCTCTTTAAATTCAGGCTCTAAAAAATCCTTGTGCACACCTTCTCCATATTTCTCCCTAGTCTAGGTGTATTATGTAAACGATTCTTCAGGGAGGAAGTGACTGGGAGGCTGTAAGATGTGTCCCAGAGAGTGGTTTTTCCCAGTGAGGAAAGGGAGATGAGATCAAATCTAATTCCTGCTCTGTTGCCCATCAGGTGGGTGACTGGATGTGTGTGCTGAGGTTGACCAGCAGAGACATCCCTGCCTCCTGCACAGCACTGGGCTCATTAAATTAGGCAGGGAAGATTCCTTCCTTTGTTTTTTCTCCTTCTCACTTCTCTGGGACACAGAGGAAGGGGAGAAAGCTGCCAGGACTCATTAGAGCTGCCATGAGCAGCAACCTGCAGGGGCTGGGGGAAGCTGAAGTTGGGGAATCGGAACCTGACAGCCACCTGAGACACCAAAACCATCACTTCTTTCCACACACGGGACCAGAGTGCCTCTAAGAGAGAAACACACACACACTCCTTCAAATCTGAGAGGTGGGAACTTGAGGAAGAGAGAGAGAGAGAGAAGGAAAACAACTAAAAGTGCTTTTATCCCAAATCCCCAGCTGAAGGAGATAGTGATGTTTTGCTGCACTCAGGGGAGGGTGAGGTGAGCAGTAATGAACCAACAGGGCTGAACCTTGGACTCTGGTTTTGACCCTGACTCAAGCACTGGAGATTTTGGTTCTGGGGGTTTTTTTGTGGGTTTTTGTTTATTTTTTGGTTTGGTTTTGGGGTTTTGGATTTGGTTGGTTTGTTTGTTTTTTTGTTTGGTTTTTTTGTTTGTTTTTTTAATTGTAAACTACTTCCTCTAA